TGCCGTCGGCCGCCCGAACCAGCCTCGACCTCCAGCGCGCGCCTGCAGGCAGACTCCTCCTCCTCCAGCGCCGCCAAGTTCCCCCGCCACGCGTCCCGCCTCGAGCTCCGCCGCCACTTCGGCGTCCCGATCCATCGCGTCTAACAGATCCGCACGTTCCTCGTCCTCGTCCTGCTCGATGGCGCCACGCCGCCCCGCCTCCTCCTCCTCTATCCTGCGACTCTCGCGCCGGAGCTGGGCCCGCGTCGCCGCCGCCGACTCGGCCTGCGCGGCAAGTTGCCGCTGCCGCTCACGCACGGCGGCGTCCCTGGCGCTGCGGCCCCGCGCCCGCGCAATGCCGTCGGCCGCCCGAACAGCCTCGACCTCCAGCGCGCGCCTGCAGGCAGACTCCTCCTCCTCCAGCGCCGCAAGTTCCCCCGCCACGCGTCCCGCCTCGAGCCCTGATACCGCAGAGGTGGGGCGGCTCGTCGACATTGGGCCAAGTGTAGCTTCATTAGGAAGTGCCCCCGGTGTTTGGTTGTCGTCGCTCAGGTCATCCATGGAGTCACAGCTTTCACTCGGGCTCGTGAGGCGGCGTCGTTCCTCGCTATTCTCGGCTATGGGGGCGGCAAGGAGGTCGCTTCTGGCGCGCCTCTCGTGCCTTCCCAGCCGCCTCGCGTGCGCCAGTGCGCCGTGACACTTTTCGTAGTGGGAGGCGAGAAGGTGGTAGGTGGCCCGACGCCACTGCAGGCAGCGTGTCGCGAGCTCACCCGCCGGGCTTCCCTCTAGCGAAGAGAAGGAGATAAGCGTGGCGGACGTTAACGTAGAAGAGACGCTCGATGTTGCCATCGCCTGCCGCCGTTGCCGCGACTGCAAGCTTGATGAGGCGGAGGACGACGACGGACGACGACGAGGACGACGACGACGACGACGACAGCAGCGTGGATGAGCTGGAGCTTAGCAATGCGCTGACGCCGCTCGAGAGCCGCGGTGGCTGACGCCGCTGCAACGGCTTTGGAAACCGTTTGTGTGCGGCGGCTGCCGCGGTCCGCGTGCCCCCCACTGGTAGGGGGGACAGTGATGCTGGCGACGACGACGAGGCGGATGTGGGGGTCCCCTTTTTGCGGCGGTTCCCTGACGCACGCGCCCCTTCCCTCGCCGGCGCGCTGCCGCTCGTCTTCCGCCAGGCGGAGGGCCAGAACCGCTGCTCTGACGCGCTGCTGCGCGCCGGCGGGAGGGCGGGCGGGAGTGTGCTGTGAGAAAGCGGGGCGCATGCGCTGACGCGGTGGCGCAGGTGGCGCAGGTGGGACTCGACGCCGTTCAGGTGGCGGTCCACCCGTGCCACGTAGGCGCTGAGGGCGTCGACGCTCTGTTGCTCCATCGCCCAGCCGCAGCGGCTCTATTTCCTCCGGCTTCCACCAGGATGTGCTACCAGCCGCGCGAGTGCAAGCCGCACGAAGCGTGACGCGAAGGAGGGAGGGCAAACGAAGTGAAGTGGGGGGTGGGGTGGGGTGGGGGAGGGATAGTAAAAAAAAAGAAAGTGACGGTAGAGACACGGGCACAGAGAGGCAGAGGACAAAACACACGTCCGATTGAGTACATGCACACAAACAAGTCCGCCCACGGACCAAGCGAAGTGTAAACACACTCACACACCCACACACACACAAGCGGGTGCGGTCGGTATTTACCCTCAGACGCATGCTCCTCCGTCTTTTTCTTACTGCCCCTCTTCGTTCCCCCCGCCTCATCGCAGCCATTTGGCTATGGTGCGAAGCCTAGCAAGGATTTCTACGGGGTTGTGGTCGTCGATCGGCGTCGCCTCCACCTCGTCCATGGCCGCCTCAAGCTCCACGAGCTTCTCCAGCGTCAAGGGAGGCACCGCGGGCTTCGCCGCACGCATCGACCGCGGCGTGTCATCGTCACCGTAACTGCCACTGTCGTCATCCCACGATGAGTTTCTGGTGACACGAGAGCGCTTCCGGCCACGACTACACTCCTGCTGCTGGTCCCGCTGCCGCCGCTGCTGCTGCTGCGGTGCTCGACGGGATTTACGGCCACGTCCATGCCGCGGTGGTGTGTCAGCGTCACTGCTGCTGCTGCCGCTGCTGCCGGTCGAATCCGACGAAGATGTGGAGGAGGAGGAGGAGGAGGAGGAGGAAGGGGATCGGCGTGCATTGCGCTTCCGCGGCGCGGCTGCACGCGAGGCATTCTTGCGCTTCTGCCTTGCCACCTCCTCTTGCGGAAGCGTTGCCTCACCCCCCGCCTTCCTCTCCGCCACTCCCCTCGTCGTCTTCCGTCGCCCGCGTTTGCCGCTGGCCGCCTCGGGGGCCTTCGCCCCGCCGCGTGTCTTCCTTCGCCCAGGCCGCTTCTTCGGCCCCGGTGACGCCGGCCGCCGCTCGCCCCTCGGCGTTGCCTCCGGCGGGGAGCACGGCAAGCCGACGAGGGAGCAGTCCCAGTGTTCCGGCAGTGGGTCAAGCTCCTCCGCCACAACGCGCCAGGTGTGGCACAGGTCGCAGCGCATCCAGTACTTCACCTCCACCTCCCTCCGCGTCTTATTCCGCCTCCCACGCGCGGTCGCCGCCGTCGCAGTGGTGGCGTCATCCTTCGCCTCCTTCTTTCCCCGCCTCGTCTTGGAGGGGGAGGGGGCTGCGGCGGCGTCGGCGACGACGGCAGCACGCGGCGCCAGTCGCAGCGTCAAGCGCCGCGTTGTCGCCGTGCCGGTAGGGTTCTCTGCGGCAGGCGCCATTGGCTCCTGCGCGCCCGTCCGGCGAATGAGCCGCAGCACGCGCCTGGGCTCGCCAGCGTCGTGCGCGACGCCGCGTCCCGCCGCCGTGGCGCCGTGGCTGTTGTCTACCGGCGGCAGCTGCGCCGCCTCGTGTCGGGGCGGGAACAGCCACGCCAACTCCGCCTCCGTGCGGGGTGGGAATCGTGTGTGGTTGTCCCCGCCCCCAGCAGCAGAACCGCCGGCGCCGCCATTCGCCGCCTCTTCGGCTTCCTCTTCCTCTTCCTCGTGGGCCTGCGCCTCCCGCGCTGCGCGGAAGCCGACGGAGACGAGCTCCTGACACGCCGCCACCAGCGGGCTCCCGCCACCGTTGTACAACTCGCAGTTGGAGCGCATGAGGGTCAGGAGCACCTTCAGCCCCGCGTAGTCCTCCACCTCGCCCTCCCACACGCTGCAGTAGATGGAGGCGACGCACACGGGCCGCCGCACGCGGCGGTAGTACAGCGGCGCCTCCTGCTCCGTGACTGGGAGCAGAAAGTCAGCCGCCGCCTTCCCGGCGCGCCAGACCTCGTCCACGGCGCGAACTAACCCGCGCCGCCGCCGCAACTCGCGGCGCCCCAGTTTATCCACCTCCAACGCATCCGCCTCCGACAGGTGAAAGAACAACGTCTCGTCCATCAGCCGCTGCACACGGATGGACTCGTAGTACGCCGCCAGGCCACGCTCCCACCGCCGCGCCGCTGCAGCTGCGCCGCCTTTCTCATCCTCGCCACCGTCGCCGCGGCGTTTCGTGGCGGCGCCAATGAAGATATCGTGCCAGTGCTCCGCCCGCCACTGTCGCATGAGGGCCGTCAACCGCGTGGAAAACTCCCGTCGGTCGGACACGGCGGACAGCTTCTCGGCAAAAAGCGCGCGAAACGTGTGGGTGACGTCCGCCGCCAGGAAATGGTCCCACAGCAGGGACGGCTCCGGCCCGCGTTGCAGGGGGCGAGCAGCCATCTCGCGTGTCGCAGGAGGCCGCTAAGGCGAAGGCGCGGGAGAGAGGGGAGAGCGGAGGGAGCGAGCCAAAGCAGTGCCAGTGCGCGTGGCGACCCACACCTGCCCGCCCTCTCTATCCCTCGCTCTCTGCGACTTTTTCTGCAGTCGCGGTCTCCTGGACCGCCCTTCCTCGTCTCCTTCGGTTTTGGTCTCCCGCTCCCTCTCTTTCTCTGCGCAGTGTGGGGGGTGGGTGGGGGGTGTCTTGTACTTCAAGCGGAAGGGAGAGAGAGAGAGAGAGAGAGAGTTGTGAGTGTGTGTGCGTGTGTGTGGGCGGCGGTGGCAGCAAACAGGCAGACACGTGATGGCAGCGGAGAGGGACACTAGAGGCGGGCAAATGTGTTTTGTTTTTTTGTTTTTCCTTTTCTCCCGAAGGAGAAGAGGCAACAAACAAACAACAACTACCTGCTACGCACTTATTTCTGTTAGCAACAGCAAGGGAAGTACACACCCCAAACCGCCGACAAGGAATGAAGAAAAAAGAATATTGTCCTCACACAATTGCCACCTCCCTTACACACACACACACATACACACACACACATATATGTGTCTACTTCTACGCTGGCCACTGGCGCGTCCCTGTGCGACTCAGGCGGAATTCACGGCGACGAACTTCAGCAGCTCCTCCTCAACGCAGGACACGTCTGCCGCGAGGTCGCGGGGCGCCCTCGCCTTTGCCGCCGCCGCTGTCAGGGCGGCGTTCAGGGCGGGGTGGACGGCGACGCGCGGGCAGCGCGCAAGAATCGCGTCGTACACCCCTCTACAGGCACGCACCGGGTCCTCCGCCGCCCCCCCGTCCGGCGCTGCGGCGTCGTGCGCCATATCCTCCCCCCGCAGCGCGCGCAGAACCGGGCCGGGGAACTTTGCCCAGTGGGCGGTGCTCGCGATGACCAGCGGGCGCCGCGCCAGGCCCTGCTCCAGCTGGAACTGGCGGAACTGCCGCGCCGCGAAGACGGCAACGGCGGTGTGCGGATCCAGCAGGCGGCCGGCGGAGGCCTCGTACACCGCCTTGATCGTCGCGGCGCACTCCGGCTCGGTGCAGCTGGTGGCCCAGAACTCCGCCCGCAGGACGGCCAGCGCGTCCCCCTCCACGACGAAGTGCCCCTCCGTCTCGAGGCGCCGCATCTGCGCCGCCACCCACGCCGCGTCGCCGCCCGCGAGCAAAAAGAGAAGCCGCTCCACGTTGGAGGCCTTCAGAATGTCAATCGAGGGCGACGCCGTCGGCACCAGCCGTCGTTGGCGGACGTCGTAGTGGCCGGTCCGCACAAACTCAAAGAGCACGTCGTTGCGGTTGGAGGCCACCACCAGCGTGCCGAGCGGCAGCCCCATGCGCTTCGCAAAGAAGGCCGCGAGGATGTTGCCAAAGTTCCCGCACGGCACCACAACGTCGAGTGGGTCGCCCAGCCGTAGCCGCTGCCGCTGCACAAATTGGCGATACGCCCAAAAATAGTACGCCACCTGCGGGATGAGGCGACCCCAGTTGATGCTGTTGGCGGAGGACAGGCGGACGCCGGCGCCTCCCCACAACCGCTGCGCCAGGGCGCGGTTGGCGAACACGTGCTTCACGGTGGACTGACAAAAATCGAAGTCCGACCGCACCCCGTACACCCGCACAGTCGCCCCATCATCGTACGACAACATTTGTAGTTGCTGCACCGGCGAGACGCCGTGGAGGGGGTATAGCACCATGACGCGACTGGGGCTTCCGGCGTTCACAAATCCACTGATTGCAGCCACCCCCGTGTCGCCGGAGGTCGCGGTGAGGATCACGTACGAGGGGGGCGGGTCGGCATGACAGGCGTGCGTCGTGGCAAATTCAAAGTAGCGAGGGAAGAGTTGCAAGGCAAAGTCCTTGAAGGCGGCGGTGGGGCCGTGGTAGAGTTCCAGTAGTGACATGTCACACCAGTGGGCGTCAGTCGCCGCGGCGGGAGGGGGAGCTTCAGCGGCAGCCGCCCCTCCGTCGTGAAGCAGGGGCGTGACGGGACACACGTCGCTCAGCCCACTCCAGCGGGCTGAGGCGTACGCCTCGGCGAGCAGCGTGTGCAGCGTCGCCGGCTGCATGGTGGTGTCCACGAGTCGCTCCAGCACGAGCTGCGCCGCCTCCACGTAGCTCAGCGTGGGCGTAGTGCAGAGGTAGCGCAGCTGCGACGCCGTCATTTGCGGGATGCGCTGCAGGCTGTAGAGGCCGCCGTCCGGCGCCAGGCCGTCCCGCACAACCGTCAGGAACGTGGTTTCCGCGCCTGCCGCGCCGCGGGTGGAGATGAAGCGGCGGCCGTCCAGCACGGAGGTCACCTCCGCCACCACCTCCGCCGCGGTGCTCGCGGGGGTCCAGATAAAGCGGCAGTCGTACGGCGCCGCCTGCGGGCTCGTGAGCTGCGCGTCATGCGCTTCAAGCAGCAGCCGAAACGTCGGGGCCCCGCCTGCTTCCTGCGCCTCGTGTGGCGGGCTCAGCGTGAACCGCGCGGGGACGTCCGCGGCCAGCAGGGCGCGCTCCACCGCCCCCTTCGCGGCGGCCGGGGCCGAGCCCGTCACACGCAGGGCGAGCATCAAAGGCGGCGGCTGCGGTGTTTTTTTTCTCCGCCCCTCCGCCGGGAGAAGTAAATAAAAAGAAAAAAAAAGAAAAAAGCGGGGAAACGTGCGTCTGCGCACGTGTGGGAGAGGCAGAGCGGAGGCGGGGGAAGAAGCTGCAGCGCCGGGCACTGCGACTCCGGCCGGGACGCATCCAAAGCGCCCACGGACAAACACATACGCGGAGGGTGGCGGCGAGAGGGGGAGAGCAAAAAAAAAGAAGAAAAAAAGAAAGACACAAACACACAAACATTCACGCACAGGCACATGCACACACACACACACACACAAGAGTCATTTTCCAATTCCGCGACGGGCAACACCAACCAACGACAACATCCCACGCTGGGGTACGATTTGCCTGGCCGAGACCAACTCCCCACATCTCTACAAGTAAAAGAAGAAGAAGAAAAAAGAAAATGTGCGTGAGCGGCGAGGGAAAAGCGGGGCACAACTATGCAAAGACAAGCCGTTTTGCTCCCATGCGCCCGGCATCCCGTTCGATGCAGAAGAGACGTATCCCCCGCTCACTCACTCACATGCACAGAAAGCGAAGAGGCAGTGGAGGGAAACGAATTCGTAAAGCATATTCCCATGACAACCGGGATCCCGCCGTAAAGTGAAGCAGTGACAGTCGTTAGGGGTTTCTACAACCGCCGGCTTCCCCTCCACGCAGGGGGTCTTAGCAGCAGTAGAAGAAGCATTGCACTCGCGCCGCCTTCTCAAGGCAGCAACATATGCATATATACATATATATATATGCTCTGGTAGAAAATCAAAAACATAAACCAACCAGGCCACAAGTGAGGCAGCGGGTAGAGCTGAGGAAGAGACGCGTTATCAGCTACGTGGCCCGTATCGGGACGCATGCATCCTTCCACAGCCTCCTCTTATGGGCGCAATGGCGAGACACACACACACACACACACACACACACTGTCAGAGTCATACACATCCCTCTACCAAAAGGAAACAACCAAAGAAAGAAGGAAAACAACTACTGAAGGAGGATGCGGGAGGTGGAGAAAAGAAACCTGCCAATGCAACAATAACAGGCCGCAGTTTAGACCCCCCCCTCCCCGGCAGGGGCCGTAGTAGTGGTAGTAAAAATCGTAAGCGTTGTTGTGTGTAGTCATCGCCCTCCCCCCTCCCCTCGTGTATTCGTTGTGTCCCTGGTGCATGGGGATGTGGCCTGCATCTCTCTGCGTTAATTACTTTTGTGACTGGAGACAAGCGGGACACGCAACGCACTCTGTGCCCCCTCCTGTGAGGTCCTCTCTCTCTCTCTTTCTCTCTCACTCTTTCGTTCTCTCTCGCCCTGTTAGTCCATGTGTAGGACGTGGGAAGCGGCACACTGTGCGGGTGTGGCGTGGCCCCCGGGGGCTGAAGGGGGAGAGGGAGAGAGAGGCACGCAGTGCAATATGTACATACAATTTGCATCCCCCCCTCCGCGGCAGCCCACGGAGGGGTGTTTGCCTCCGTCACTCAACCGTTTTTTCTTCCTCTCGCCCTCCTTGCGGGTATTTCTTTTCGTTTTTAAGAGCTCTGCGTCTTCGTAATTTCTCTCGTTTTAAACTGATGATGATAATATATATATATATATATTTTGCTTTTCTCCGCACTTTTCCCCTCCCCACCACTGCGGCCTCGTTTTACAACAGAAGCAGCCGCGGCAACAACAACAAAAACAAACAAACAAACAAACGTGGGGCGCGAGGGGGAAGGAGAAACAAAAAAAACACACAGCAACCACCAAACAGTAAAGAAAATTGAGGGACGGTGGGGGGAACGGAAGACGCAGATTGAGTTCTGCCAACCGCACGCATGTGTCGCCAACAAACTGCGGCAGTTCTGGAGAAGTACATAACACGCAGCAGGGCGCCATTAAATTATTGTACTTTTTGTTTTGTTTTTGTCTTCAGTTCTTTTTTTTTTGTCTTGTTAATTTCCGTTTTTCTTTTTTGGTCGCTGTTTCCTTCGCACGTCGCGGTTAGTGTGCGTCTGTGCGTCCGTGTGTGTGTGTGGGGGGGGTGGGGGACTTCGCCGCCGCCGCCGCCGCGTCAGGCGAGGATGGCGAGCAGCGTGTCGAGCGCCTTGATGTACCCCACGTCCCGCTCGTACGCCGCCTCGGGGTCGCCGCCGCGCTGCAGCTCCTCCCGCTCGTAGGTGAAGGCGAAGTCGACCATCACGATCCGCGAGGAGAGCAGCGGGCGGTCGGCGTCGTACACAAAGAGCAGCGAGGAGGTGAAGAAGCGAAAGACGGCCTGCCGCAGGAAGGCCGATCGCAGCCGCCGCACCTGCCTGCGGAACTTGTGCCGGAGGCGCCTGCTACACTGCATGAAGCGCGCGATCGTCTCCCGCAGCTCCTCGAGCGAGAGGTGCCGCCCCGCCACCTTCGACCGCGTCTCGTACTGCTGCGTGTCGGGGCACCACCGCTTCATCCCCGCCAGCCGCACCCCGTGCTGCATCGAGGTCGACAGTGCCGCCTTGCGCTCCTTGCTGCGCAGCTTTGCCTCGGACGGGTTCATCCCATACTGGCGGCTCCCCATCTTGATGTCGAGGATGCAGGGGTGGATGAAGCCGTAGCACAAGTTCTCCAGCACTATCATCTGCCGCAACTCCCCCCCGCTTTCGTTTGCCGTCGCCGCTGCCCCGGCCGGACCGGTGGCGCGCCTGCCGGAGGCTCCCTGCACCCGCGCCTCATCCCGCTCGTTGGCAGCGGAGGAGGGCCGCAGACCGTTTTTGCTGCTAGACCCGCCGCCCCCAAGCCGCACGCAGCGAAGACCGATGTACCGCGGAGTAAATGGGACGAGCGGGATGAGCACATCCCAGTGCCGTCCCGCGCTGACCGCCGCCAGCGCCGTGCTCGTGTCACGCAGGCTCCTATCCCCGGTGCCGCGTCCTCCGAGCGCCGCGGTGTCGGAGCGGCGGCGGCGGCGCCACCACCACTCCCAGTGCGCCGGCACAGCCGGCTCCCGCCCCAGGCGTTGGCCGCCCTCGTCTTCCCTGCCGTTCCCGCGCCGCTCCCCCGCGCCGCTCGGGGCGGAGACGGAAGAAGCAGCGGAGGAGGCGGAGGAGGAGGCGGAGGAAGAGGCTGAGGAGGAGGAAAGGGAGTAGTACGCGTCCAGCAGTTCTCGATGGCGCCCGACGTACTCCTGCACGGGCCTCAACATCTCATAGAAGCGCTCCTCCCGCGGCGAGCAGGACTCCTTCATAAACACCCCGTCCTCCACGATGGCCAGGTGGTGGCCGCCGACGGAGCCCGCGGGCTCGGCGGCGGGCTCCAGGGCGTTATCGACCCGCACCGTCGTCGCCCCGCTCCCACCGGCGCCCAAAACGCCCGACGCCGTCGTCGGGGGAGCGTTCACGACGCGCCGGCGACGCACCTCCCCGCTCCCGCCCGCTTTCTTCTCAGCCTCCTCCGGGTGGAACAGGCGAGCCCATTTCTTTTTAATTTTCTTCAGTTGCGGCTGCGGCTGCGGCTGCTCCGCGGGCTCAGCGAAGCCGTCGCTGTTGTACTTGGGGAGCGGGTGAAGGTCAGCGCAAAGGCCGCCGCCGCCCGCCAGCTCCTCCCGCGACGACGAGGACGCCTTCGTGCTGCTGCTGCCTGCCGGCTCCCCCTCCGCCTGCCTCCGAGTGTCGCTCGCCAACATCGTTCCCTCAAGGGCGAATGCTGTCACCGCCGCCGCCGTTGTCGTCGTCGTGGCGCTGTCGATATCGGTTCGCCCCGCCTTCAGCCTTCCCTGCGTCGTCGCCTCCGTGCTACCGTAGCCGTAGTCGTAGTCGTAGTCGTCATCGTCGTCGCCCAGGAGGCGCGGCGCCAGCATGCCGCCCGGCCACCGGTTTTGTGCGTCTAAGCCGGTACTGTGCCCACTCCGCCGCGGCCCCGCCTCGCTACCGCCGTCAGCGTCGTCGTCGTCGTCGTTGACGCCCGGCGCGCCTCTCCACTGGGGCTCAGCGAAGGCGCTGGGGACGCCGCTACTGCTGCTAAGACTGGCATCGAGGGCCCCGCCCGCGCGGCCGTCGCGCGGCGTCGCCTCGTCGGAGCTCTTGTACCCGTCATCCTCCTCCTCGTCGTCGCCGGGCGCCGCAAAGTGGCCCTGCCGGCTCAGCTCGGGCGACAGGCACGACGGGCACTCCGCGGCGGGGTCGGCGTTCGGCGTCACGGAAAACAACGGCATAAGCCCCATCGCCACGTCAGACCTCTGCTCCAGCCGTTGCTGCTGCTGAGCCTGCTCCTCCGACCCGCGCCGCATGGCTGCCCGGATGGGCTAGGAGTGTGGGGCCAAACACGAACAAGAGCAAGCTGGCCAGCTCCGCGCCTCGTTCTGCGGCGTCTCGTTGCTTGTTACCTTGAGTGACCGCACACACAGCGCGTGAACGGGCGCTGCGCGTAGCAATAAACTTGACCTCTTCTTCGCCAGGTAGAATTCCAAGGACGGAACGAGGCAGGGGAGAAGTACAAGGCGGCGGCGCGGCGGCCAAAGGGGCGAGGGCAGAGTAGACGAAGAAGACAGACCACACACACGCACGCACCACAACAGGGGTGGGGCTACGCAGATATAGGTAGACAGATACGTACAGAGGGATAGACACACAACAACACACACACCCTGCCCCTCCGGTGCTTTTCCGCAGCCGGCTTCACACCAGCTCCCGCCCCCCGTCTTGCCACACGGTAGTTGCGCCTCGGCTGTGCCTCAAAAAGGACCAGTCGTGGGGGAAGTAACAGGGCCACAGACAATTAAAGCAGGTGAGGGAAAAAAGCTTACAATAAACACACACACACACAGATACGGACATATATATAAAATGACGGCAGGGTGCAGCTTCGCATCTGCGGTAGAGCCATGCGGGAGGGAGGAGGGGGAGGAGGGGGCATCTACCGCCCACCGCCGTCTTCATCAGCGTGTTGCCCGTGTCGTGTGCCCACGGCGCGGGGGAGGGGCGGATATACATGTACGGTGGTGACGGCGTTGAGCACAGCAAGGGGACAAGGGCGGATGAAGCAGAAGCAATGGACAAACCGGAAATAAGACGAACGGAAACACAATAAGAGTTACGACAAAAAAAATATGAACTCTGCATGGCCTCAAGGTTTCAACAACTCCTCACCCCGCACACATACAACTCGATAAATATAGCTATACATAGGAAGTAGCGCAAAGAAAGAAAGAAAGAAAGAAATGGCAGAGGAGAAGGCTGGGGCTGTAGGCGGAGCTCCTCGTTACTCTGGGGAACGCCATAATTCGCTCTGCAGCGGCGTCCCTCGCAGTGTCCCTCTCCATTGCCACTCCCACAGTTGTCTCCAAATTATAGGCTGGCCACGTCTTCCGTCGCCGCGGATGCCATGCCTTCGTCTACCACTGCGGTCATCGCCTCCTCCCCGCTCGACGGCCGCTTCAACAGGGGAAAAGGACTGTTCACTTCACGTGCGGCGGCCTTGGGACTTTTTACCTGAAGGAAATCTTGGCCGGCGGGGCGCAGCTCATAGAGCGGGTGCATCTCTTGGTAGCGCGACTGAAGTGGAAGTTCACGGAAGATGTTGGCATGACGGAGGAGTGCCACCCGATCCACCGGGCCGTACGCGTTTGCGTCCCCGAGGTCGTCGACCATGCGCTGAAAGGAGGCCGACAACAGCGTGTCACGGAGTCGCTGCGCCGCGTGTGCCGCCGTGGGCGACGGGCGACGCGGGCTCCTGGCGCCAGCCTCTGCTACTGTGGCGGCCGCCGTGGAGGAGGTGGTTGCCGGCGCCGCCGCCTCGGGCTCTGGCCGCGGCGAGAGAATTCGGGCATGCCTTCCCGGCGAGGCGACGGCCCTGCCGCCCTCCCCCTTCGCTGGGAGGGCGCGTCCCACGCCAGCGCTGTCGCCAACCGCGAGGCCCGAACCGGCGGCAGTGGAGGGAGGCAGGGCCGTCGCCTCGCTGGAATGGGAGGCGTCGCCGGCGCCGTCTTCGTCCTGCAGCGCCTTTTCCAGCCACCCCCGCCGCACCCCCCGCTTCCTCAGCCCCGGGTGCCGCTGCGAGGGCCGCTCGTCAGGCTGACAGGTCTCCAGCGGCTGCGGCGCGCCACGGTTGCCCGGGAGGTCACCGGGCGCAAGCGAGCATTCCTCGACCACGCGCCCCACCGCGGAGTGTTCGCTGTCTAGCACGTGCTTCGGCACCATCGCCCCCGTCACCCGCGGCGGCCGCACGAGGCCAAATTCCTCCTTCCTGATGAACCGCCAGCGATGCCTCAGCGCAGCGCAGCTCGGCCGCCACACCGTCGACGTCGGTGACGCCGGGCCCCGCGGGGACGCGTTCAAGGGCGACAGTCTGCATGGGCTCGGCGACGCTGCTGCCTGCGCCGCCCCGCGCCCCCGCCCCCGCAGCGCGCGGGCAGACGGAGGCGACGGGGTGGAGGTCACGGGCCCGCGGGGCAGCGGTGGGACGGCGGCTGCCTCGGCCGCAGGGCGGAGAGTGAAGTACGGCGTCGCACTGGGCCCGTGGACGATGTAGTCGCGCGTCTGCTTCACTTTGCATGCGCCCGCGGCGGGGGGTGCGTCCGAGCGCGGCGGTTGCCCCTCCACCGTGCCGTTTACATGCGATTCCTCGGTGGCGCTCATTACTTCCTCTGTGAGCGGCCGCGCATGAGCGACAAAGAGCGAGAGGGAGAGAAAGAGAGAAAGAGCGAGCTTTCCGCACCCGCCTCAGCGGTGGGCGCAGCAACAACGACAAGTGCCTGCCCGGCGGCTGCCAAGCCTCCTGCAGGGAAACTGGCAGAACCCAAACTGCAGCAGAAATAAAAACAGGCGCCGGCCAATACAAATTTCACTCGATTCACCTGGCAGCTTAACGGGTTACGATCGTTCGCCTCTCCACGTATTATCTCCTACACTCAGTGACATTCTTCCACTTCCTCCCTCTCCTTTTTTTTCCCCCCCCTCCACCGCCTCGTGCTGCCCCCTTTTCGACGCGTTAACGCGCAGCATCGCATCAAACCCGCGCCTCCCCCCGCGCGTTCTCTCCCACCCTCTGCCCAATACGCTGGCGGCTTGCTGTTTCTTTTCTTTTTTTTCGTCTCTCGTGCTTTACTTATAGGGCTCCTCCTTACAGCCTCTCGAAGTTGTTGGCGTCGGCGCCTGCCGACACGTCTCACACTCCCCGCGTCTCCGTTACTGCACCGCCAGCAGCACCAGTTGCCCCCTGCTTTTATTATTATTCCTCACTCCCCCCTCCTCCTCCGCCGCGGCACGCACACGCACACAGTCACTGGGGGAAAAAGCGGGAAACAAACGTTCAGAACGAAGGAAAACAAACGAAAAACAAATATAAACAAAATAAAACGAAAAATAAAAACACAAAGAGGCCGGGACGGACCACAGGGACACGCATGCGCAAAAAAAAAAAAACTGAATCCCTTAACGTTACGAGGTAACTGTTGCGTTGTTGTTGCTTGAAGACTCCGCCGTACGCCTCTCTCTCTGCCTCTCACTCCCACGCTACCCCGTCCGCTACGCAGCGACTACCAGCGACCACGACGACAACAACAACAACAGCAGGGCGCTTTATAACGCGGCCACAATAGCAGCTGTGCACGAGCACAAAGGCGGGCAGGGCAGCACGGCTGCTGGCGTGCGAAATAAGGGGAGGGGGGCAGCTCGTACCTCCACTCTGCGAGTGGAACGTGGCGCGGCCGGGCCACAACGCAGAATATGCATGCGCAGTATCTGCCGCTGCGACGGCGCACATGTCCCCACCTTATCACTCTCTCTCTCACACTGCTTGCGTGTGCCCGCAGGCTTTTGTGCAAACACGTGATGCCGCCCCGCTAGCTCGCAAACCCCCGCCTGCCACCGTCCGGGTGGGTCGGCCACCTCTCATCCCCGTTGCCGGCATCACCTAAAAGCCCGTAAGCGTCGGGTGTCTCGCGGTGCGTACCAAACGGGCTCGCTGCCTCCCCCGCGGGCGAGCAACCAAAGCTGCACTGGACGTCCTTCTCCACTGGCTCTCCGCGGAAGTTTGTCATCGCCGCCGCGTCGTCGTCCCCCTCGGGCGGCGGCGGCGGGCTGGTGGGGAAGAGGCCCAGAAGCAGCTCCCCGGGTTGCTCGGTGTGACCGTCGTTGTAGAAGACGCCCCGGTTAATCCCGGGCCCCGGCCCGTAGTCGTCGGCGGGGTTCTCGTCGTCGTCGGAGATCTCACAGTGCACGATCACGCCCTGGAAGCCGTTGCGGGCGACGTAGCGGCAGTACAGGTACGACCCGCCACTCCCCACGGCGAGGAAACCGACCAGCGCCAGCCCAATCGGGAGTGACACCATCGCGGAAACGACGGCGGCGACGACGCAAAAGAGGGCCGACGGCGCGAGGCACAATGCGGCGGCGACCGTGTTGCACGGCAGGGCGTAGGGCCGCGGCAGATTTGGGTGGTCGATGCGCAGTTTAATGAGTGAGGCGTAGATGAGCAGCATGCGCAGGCAGTAGAGGGACTGGCACATGGCCACCACATCCCCAAAGTCCATGGATATGCAGAAGGCCATCGTCACCGTCGAGTTGAGCAGAATGGCCGGTATCGGGGTGCCGATGGTGGGGTGGTAGTACCCAATGATGCGTGAGAGTTTCTTGGGAAACATCTGCATTGTGCCCATGCCCGCCAGCAGCCGGCTGGTGCAACACATCGAGGTCAGCGTGAAGCCCAGCCCACTCACGATGGCCCCGGCAAACAGGTAGTACTTGAGCCAATCGCCAGAGACGAGGTGGGCGATCTGCGGCCAGCGCCCTGCCTGCCACTCCGACCAGTTCTGCTGCGGCCCCAGCGCGCTGACGCCGGCCAGCATGGGGAGGAGGTAGGCAATGTAGGAGGAGAACATGAGCGGCACCATCATCCGCGGGAAGGTCACGCGCGGGTTCGACACCTCCTCCACCATCGCCCCCGCATTCTCAATGTTCGCGTAGTTCCACGTCACCATGCTGAGGAAGGAAGGCCAGTTGATTCCGGGCAAATCCACGTGTGAAATGGCCTTACCGTCGAGGCCGTGCGTGAAGATTTGCTGGAACGACAAGATCAGAAACGGCAGCATCGCGATCACGCACACAACCACGCAGGCCGAGCCGACAATCTCGACGCCGGCGCAGTTGAGAATGCAGCAGAGTAAAATCACCCCAATCTTCACCCCAATCTCGCCACCCTTGTTCAGCGGCAGCAGCGCCGTCACGTACTCCGAGGTGAGGCTGGGGTACGTCGCATTGCCCACAAAGGTGATGAAGACGGTTGAGATGATGCACATGAACGAGACCGACGCCGGAAAGGCGGCGTTGACCCACATGAGGATGCCGGAGTTGCTTGGCACGGCGGTGGAGAGCTCCGCCACCGCCAGCCCCGTCGGCAGAGACCAGACCCAGGGCAGGATGAGGCACACCACCAGCGTCACCAGCGGGCCCGCCGCTCCGACGGTGTCCTCGAAGCCGTAGCCGCCGCCGAAGCAGTTGGCGAACATCAGGGCTAAGAGGCCGACAATCCCGATGGAGCCGCGGTGGGCGACTGCCTCCCCGGCCCGCCGCACCCAGTCGGGTCGCCGGATGACCTCCTGCGTGTGCCTCAGCTCGGGATGAAAAATCGGCTTCACATTTTGGCGCTGCCGCAGGCGCGTCTGCGAGTTGGGCTCCGCCGCGTGGCTCATCCTCGCCGCTTGGAGCTCGCGGCCGCCGCAACCGCCTCGCTGCCTCCCTCGCGCGGTATCGCAGCCACGCGCCTGAGGTTGCGCTCACACGTGTGTCCAGGCACGGCACACCCACAACGAGAGGGCCGTGGGTCAAACGAGTGCCGCCGGGTGAAGTAACTTTCCGTCCCCAACTCTCCGCCCCGCTCCGAAAAGAAAAGAAACAAAAATCACAGCCAATGCTGATTTCTTCACCTGCCGGCTCCCACTTCCGCCTCTCGCCCCTCACTCTCTCTCGCTTTCTCTTCACACGCCCCACGCCTTCCTGTACTTGAGAGCTCGCGTTAAGGTCGCGCCTCCGTCCCTTTAGCTGAAGCAAGCGAAGAAAAAAGAAAACACCTCCCTTGGCGAGACACGCACACGCACACTCTCACACACGCAAAGGAATGCGCAGAAAAAGTGATAAAAAGTGAGTCGGGGAATCGCACGCCGCAGAAAGCTCGGCGCACACATACTACACAAACAAACAAGCAAACAAACAGAGATAGACGGAGAGAGAAAGGAGGGGATTATTCAGCACGCATGCCCCACGGCGTTGTCGTCAAACCTTTTTTTTTCTTCTTCTTCGTCCTTTTCGTTCCCTCGACTTTGTGTCACTGTCCGTTCCCTTGACATCGGTTGTTGTTTTTCTTTTTATTTTCGTTTCTCTCCCCCCTCTCTCCTGCTTCCTCTCACACCCATCCACGCCCAGCGCTCACGCAGATGCCAGTCTTTGCTCGTTCTGCTTTTCCTTTTCCGCCTCCGCCGCCTCCTCTGCCTCACGCTGGCGGTTTGCTTCTGCTATCAGCGGCTTGAGGTCCTCCTCCGTCAGTATCTTGAACTCCGGCACGGTCGCCGGCAACGCGTTGTACGGGTCCAGCAGCCGCTGCGTCGCGGGCGCCGGCACTTTGTGCAGGACGGCCACCTCCAGTCGCTCCGCCGAGAGCTTGACAGTGTCCATCGTCTTTCCGAGCACGCGAAGGCAGAGCACGATGCCCTCGTCTAGCGTGAGCTCCGGCTTCCAGTCCCGCTTGAGCAGCGTCTGGGCCACCTGGTCGTTCTGGCCGATGGCGTAGGCGTGCCAGGTGTTGTAGTTGCCACTGGTGTCGGTGCGGTACAGCTGGTAGCCGTGGTGGCGGTCCCAGCCCGCCAGGAGGAAGGATACCCCAAACGGGCGGACGCCGCCGTACTGCGTGTACAACTGCTTCTCATCGCACACCAGCCGGCAGAGATCCTCCGCGGCCATCGGCTCCTGGTAGGTGTAGCGGTGCCGGTTCGCGCTGAGGCGGGCGAGGTTGAGCAGCGCGTAGGCGTCGGAGGTCACCCCGGCCACGCTGCAGCCGAGGTGGTCGGCGATCTTGTACACCTTGTCCCCGCTGATGTTCCTGTCCTCCATGTTCTCCGAGTCGAAGAGGCTGTTCTGCATCCCCCGCTCCGCGCCCAGGACAACGCCGTCGGAGGTGAGAATGCCGATGACTGTGCCGGCCTGCGAAATCGCCTCCTCGGCGTACTCCACCTGGTACAGGCGGCCCTCCGGGGAGAAGGTGGTGGTGCGGCTATCGTAGCGCGACGACATCCGCGGCAAACAAAACAACAACAACAACAAAAAAGACCGAGCTTAGGGCTGCAACTGAAACCCTCTCCCTCCGCTCCCTTCTGCCTTTGCTGCCCCTCCTCAATTTGACACACGCGCCGGTGTCGCAGTCGTGGCTGTTTCTCCTCCAGGGGTCTCTCGCCCTGCGTCAAGTTCCCGCCGCGCCTCGCTCTTTATTCCTGCCGTGCACGAGCCAAGGGAACTGCGCAGCAGTAATCCTGATAAATATTATAAATGCGCCTGTGCGTGTGTGCTTGGACTTCCTTGTGGACCTCACGCCCCCGGCAGAGGCCAAAGCAAACACGCGGGAGACGGAGAAGGCGAGTGACGTTGGAAGCGAGCGACGGAGAAAAAGAAAAACGACGACAAAAATCAGTGGGCCGCACGTCGCCCCTCATCTGCAACTGCACACTGTCTGGGGACGGGAGCGTGCAGGGTGCGAGGGGGGGGGGGGGAAGACGGGCGGAGAGAGAAAAGGAACTCAAGAAAAAAAACATCAGCAGCTGCTCGCCTCTGCCCTCAGCAGCGGTCGGAAATTGAATCGCAGGCACACGCACACGGGTCTCTCTCTCTCTCTCTGTCTCTCTGCGTGCGTGTGTGCGAGGGCACTACAGCGCAAGGCGGCACAGGCAAGCGAGGCCCGTGTGCGGCGACGTTGCCAACAGAAGCACACGAGCAACACACTTGGCTGAGGCCTGTGTGCATTGCGGGACGGTACAAAAAAAAAGGGGGAAAAGAAAAGGCCCTTTTCCCCCCTTTTCTTCTTTTGTGGACGCCGTTCCGCCCGTCGCCCCGCATGGACAA